ATTTGATACGAGGAAAGACGGAACTTTAGATTTTGATCTTATTTTGCTTCAACTTCGAAGTAACTTTGCGTCAAGTTTGAGGTGGCCCCCAAACATCAAATCACTTTAAATAACATCGTCTTTTCGTTCTCTTTACAGTCATATAGGACACAAGGCCTTAAAAAATGTTCCAGCTTCAGGATTAAGTCGCTCTTACTACAACCCTCGGCAAATTATTTTTCGGGAGGTTTTGGTGGATTTTCCAAGTCATGACCCAAAACCGTCTTTGGTCTTTTTGCTCTCCAAGTCTATTGTATATGGTAGGTAGCCACGTGTCTTAACAACGGTTATGGTCTTTCCTCTATCAACTACGGTTTAGGCTTATTTTTTTACTGTGTTTTGGAGGTAATTTTGATTATTGCCTTTTCGAGCTTCATGTGCTAACTAGAGGAAAAACTTCGGTAAAACTTATTTATAAAATGGCCCCCAAATCCCTCACTACTGTCAGTTAATTGTTTATCTATCTAGCTTTGGTCTAACTAGTCCATTTACCTCAAAAAAATGCGTGGGTTTTGTCTCATGAGTAAAACTGTTGCCGTTTTCTTCACTTTCTTGTTATTCGAAACGAATGGCGTCAGCTGTATTCTGTCCTGTTCATTTCATTTGAGTCGAAGTACACAATGAATTTCAAACCAGCTTAGTTATATTTCACTTTGCTGTATGTCTCATGATCTTGAAGTTCTTATTTCTTATGTTCTCTTCTGTTTAAGGTAATGTGAAGTGACCCAATAATTGGTACTATAGACAGAGTGGATGGCTGTGACAGAGTTTGTCATTATTCCCAGAAGTTTACTTCTTGTTTAAATTATCAGTCTTTAGTTCTCTGTACACAACTTTCCTAGACTAATATGCTATATAGGAGTTATGTATACTCTATTTGTAACCATAAAATTACCATTAAAGTTTTCCGAAGTTTTGTCCATATTTCAGTGAAAATGAATGTGAGTAGTGATCAGTTTTATTCCTTAGGAGTGTTTAAGCTTCCAGATTGAGAGCTGATAAATTTCTTGAGTGATTCATACATGATTTGTCTCCTGTAAAAATGACACAGCCAAACGCCCCTGGCAAATGTCGATAAATTTCTTTAGTTAGCAGTCAGGTTGGTGCCCATTACCACTTAATATGCAGTATCAAAGTCTCCTTTTGACTTCAGTCTTACTTCTCTAAAATCTAATAGGAGTTAATCATCCAGTTTTCATAAAGAGGTCAACAAAACTCTTCTCATTATTTGAATCTGACTTCATACAGTCTTGTTCCCAGGGGATACAAGCCTTGGGAAATAATTTGGTTTTTGTCCTTACTGATACTATCAGCTGTTCAAAAAAACAATAAAAACACTAATGTGGCCTTGAATTACTGTAAAATATTGTAGTAGTCAGAGCTTTCACCACTCAACGGGATCATCAGGGACGGATAAGATAAAATATTCCGCAAGGACCCAATAAANAATTTCTGATGTTTCTTCCTCTCGAACAAGCCTTCAGATGGAAGGGAACAGAATGCGAAGATGTGGTTAATCTGAATTTCTGTGGGAATTCATGTGAATTCTTAATCATACGGTAAGCTTCCTTCCCCACAGTCAACATTGCATGTCATTTGTGCACTCATCCGCGCTGTTTCCAAGTTTCTTTGCTTTTCGAGGATGACGTCCGAGGCGCTAAGAACGCAGAACTGCAGCATTCAGCGTCAGGCTGTAAAAACTCAATTTTCTTTGAGACAGAATGATACACACCGTCTCGCTAAAGCTTTCAACTCTTTCTTTAGACCATTCATTTTGCGAATGAAACGATCGAATGACACTTCATCGGCTAAATATTTATAGCGGCATCAAAATAATGAACAATCAGAAGGTACATAATAAGTGCTCAGTAGCATTCCTAAAACAAATTCTAGAGGTAAAAAAGTAGATGTTCATAGGCTTGCCAATTCTAGCATAACTTTCTTCAATTAAACCGCCCTCGATACAAAAACTGAGAGCCCAACGAAAAACCAGATAATTAGCCACGATACTAAGCACGATTCAAAATGCTGGCGTCAGTGGTCGAATCATATTTTTGGACAATTTTCAACATAAAATCAAAGATTCTCTTTGGAAGCTTAAAACACCTGACAGTCAACTATTTGAAGTATTAAAGTAAATTTTACAAGGCTCCATGAGCACACCTCTTCTGTAATATGTGGAGCCTCAACTTAACACTTTATCAACTACAAGATCCAAACACCACTTCGTTATCACTTTTAATTTTCTTTTCTTTTCGTTTTGAAAGTTATTTTGGTTAAGGTTACTTCCCGCCCCCAGATTCGTTTTTTCTTTTATTGGATTAGATTGAAGTTAGACATTTTACCTAACGTTTACAAAAAGAAAAATTTTAAATCTCAAAAAGCGTCCGACTTATTTAGGAAAACGTATTTTCAAATAATAGTTAATAAATCAGGAGCGTGTCATAATCTCGTAAGTGCAAGAACCCCTGGGCAAATATTGGCGGAAATTTAAAGTTATATGCATAGTTTGTTTACATCGCGCACATGACAAAATTCACACGTGAAAGTTCTCTGCTGGTGGAATATTTTGTCGTGGATAAAAAACAGAAATAAAAATTAGGAAGGAGTCCCTGGCCAAAGAAAAAGAAAAAAAACAGGGCCAAAGAGGAGAGAAATGACACCATTTTGTCAGGAAAAAGAACAGTCCTAGCACTCCTCTCTACGCTGGTTTCTAAAGTACGAAAAAAATAAGTCGCCATCAAATCTATATTTGCCGTGCATAAGGTTAAAAACGAAGTTTCCTTTCAATATTCAATAAGTGTGTACCGGTCTTGATACAGAACATAGCCACTCGCCTCGAATCACATGTCACAAATAAACCTACCCGAGGGAACTCATTTCAGCGATAAGGGTATTACTTAAGCTCTTAAGCTGTCTGTCGACTAGCTGTTTTGCTTTTCAGCAGTTTCCCCAGCTTTATCTTTTTGCCGCGGGTTACATCTTTGCCAATTTTGTCCATTATTCAACGTTCAACAGAACGAGCTAAAAAAAAAATGTGACTTCTATGCGATACTTTTCCCGGGAAAATCTTGATGCATTGGCATTGACGCCAGGGGGTCCCGTCTTCCTATTGGTTCGCGGCTTCAGGAGGCGAGATAATCTCT